TCCAAGGGAACGTTCACCATTTTTCCTGGGGACAAGGTGGGAAAAGAAGAGTTAGCGGTGACTGCTGATGGAAGAACCTATCTGTCTCCTCTTGGGTTGGTGAAGGGAGAATGTCACCTTTTTGAGTGGCTGGGGCAAGGAAAGTGCCAGGAGCATCATGCAGGTCAGACGGATGGGCTAATGTCCTGACACCCGGGCCCGTTCTGGTGCCCTAGGGATTCTAGTGATGGTGCAAGCTATCATCACGGCCACCGTCCAGGGGATACTTGCATTACCTCATTTAACTCTCACAATATTTCTGTGTGGCAGATATTACTTTTTATCCCTATTTTACAGATGAGGAACCTGAAACTGAGAGGTATTCCCTAGATGCTCTGTTAGAGCTAAAATACCATGAGAAACTTATATCCTGTTCTTTTCTTTCCTGATAGAGTCTCTAGCATTCTATAAAACATTGCTCTTCATAGTAGTATGATGGGTTAATAAGAGTACTGAGGGGAAAAGGAGATGGAGGTGTCACAGGGGCGAATACATTGAGAAATTCAGGGTTAAAAAAGGTATACAGGTTTCTCTGTTGGAGGACTTCTCAGAGTACTCAATGCTCTCTGTAAACAGCTCTGGCTGTGGTTCTCTCCTCCCTGACAGTACCTCAGACTCACCTGGGGAGTTAAAAAAATACCGATGCCCAGGCCACACTCCATACCAATTAAAGCAGACTCTAGAGGTACAACGCAAGCACAGGTAGTTTTAAAAAGCTTCCCAGGAGTTTCAAAGTGCTTCCTGGGTCAAGAATCCAGCTCTATGGGGGGAGTTGGGCATAGTTACTGACTTCTCTTTATTTCAGAGAGCACCTGATTAACATCTAGTTTGGTACAACATAGTTTTGAAAATGCTGAGACATAAATATCGAAATATCCCTAAAATTCCAAAAGTTTAGGTCTGGTTCACATCTGCTAGTTTACTTTAGGCCCAAAAAGTAGAACAAAAATTGTTCTGTCAAATAGAAAAATTTTTTCCTTCAAAACTGTGTTGAATTTGACAGGAACAATCTCAATCTAGAAGTCACATTTCTGAGCTGCCCCTCAGTATGTGCTGGGTAACTAATAACATGAATCTTTACCAAATGAAGTATCGTAATAACAACCAACGCCAAGATTTTATATTTAAATGGACCTATTAAATGTCAAGAAGCTCAGATGGGGATCAAGACCACAAAACAAAAATTCCTTTACAAACATAAGATTTTTGATAATTATTTTAAAGATATTGCTTTAAATGAATGATCCCCTAAAACCTTTAGGCAATTCTAGGAAATGAAGTTAATTTTTAAAATTGAGATATAATTTTTCATTCACATACCATAAAATCCACCCTTTTATAGTAAACGATTCAGGAAATGTAGTTAATTTGAGAAACTCTGAGCCTGTTTCTCCAACCACAGAATGGCTATAATATCACCAACCTTCCAGATTGTTCTGAGATTAAATGATACATAAGACTTAAAACGTATTCTGCACGTTATAAATCCTAAGGAAATGTCAGATTCTCTTCCCTATAAACACAACACAAACTTCTCGTTATAATACAACTTTGCTGAGGGCAAGGGTAGGAGTGCTTTTATGCAGCTAGTGATGGGCCTGGAACAAGCATCCTGAAAACACTGCTTGCTGTCTTCTCTTCACCAGATCTTCTCTTCACAAATCTAAGAGAAACAAGAAAGGGCTGGAAGCCCAGCAGCCAGAATGTTACCTGCAATATATCGAATCTCGGGTAAGCACATCATGAGGTCAGGAAAGCGGTTGGGCTGATGTGTATATTTATATTCGGTGAAATCCTGGCAAATGTACCAATATCGCTTGTTCAGCTGTTCCAGCTGTGAGGCACTGGCCAGACCCCTGATATCTGTGAAGAAAATCACATAGGAAGTGGGAGAGGCTTTCTAATATGGAAGAAACACCACCTCCTTGAATAGGTGCATCTTAAAAGTCATTAAATGTCACAACGGGATCTTTTTTCTTTCTGACATGGAGGAAACAAAGTTCTGGATAAGGGAAAACAGATAAAGAAGGAAAAAATTATACAGGACAATCACTAGACTGAGCCCCTTGAGGGCTAGGCTGCATCTTTCTGAACTTCATACCCAGCTCCCAGCACAGGGCTTGGCCTAAAGCAGGTACCAGTAGATGATGAACAACTGACTGAATAATCTACTTTTCCTACTTTATCCTTCACAATCTGTAAATGTGCCCTTTGCCAGAGTCCATCAGAAACCTTGCTGATACCTACACATTCATGCTTGTACATGTACTCACACACGGTCTCCTGTGTTTCTGCTTGTACCCCTCTGTCTGGGATGTCACTCAGTTTCTTCTATAGAGGTTTCTCTCTCATTTCTTTACAACCCCCCCAACCTGCCCTTTTTATATACAGAATATAGGTATTCTATATATAAACCTTACCCAGTCTTTGAGGCCCAGCTTGGATTTCTCCTCCAAGTAGTTGCTACTGATCTCCCCCCATCTGAAGCTCAAGTAATGTGTCATGTGCCATCATAGTATATTTCTTGAGGCCAGGGACCTGGGGTCTAATTTTTTTTCAATGTCTTTAATGCTCACCACAGGGCCTGGCCTAGAGGCGGCACACAGAACGCCAGATAAATGCATGAATGGTGCAGAAGCAGGAGGAAGAGGTTTGGCCAGTGTGAGCAAAGAGGAGGGGACCCAGAGTCTCCGGACTGAGTATGGAACAGAGCACTTATAATGACGCAGGCGGCGAAACGGCCCAATTCCACGAGAGTAAAGCACTCACATGCTACTTTCGAAAAAACAACACAACTTCTCCTTCACACTCTGTTTACCAGCAGCTACCAAGGGCCACTTTGCTGGTAACTCTCCACATAGCCCACATCCAGCACATCTAACTAAAAGCCATGCTTGACATGCGTGTGAGTTTTTGTGCACCCCCACTCTGCCTTGAAGGGACTGTCAGAACCACTGCCAGCCTGTCACAGAGGCCTTATCTCTGATAGTTTCATCAGTCACTCTGCTCTTCTTCAGTCACCGGTAAACTTGGTACATATTTTAAATGACGCATGTACTGTCCTTGGTGTCTGCGTTTGAATGCATTGAAACTGACTAAACAAAGCGAATCCTCTTCCTTCTGCTATGAGTTATAGAGACTGTGGCATTTAGGTTTGAAGAAAAACTTAAGAGCATGCCCTGCACTATAGAAGGGCAGGATGATGATGAGGGGAGCACAGGCCTTCCAAGATTAGTACCCACATGGTGCGTCAGACTCTGTGTGACAGTCCTGAGGGTAAAGGGAGCATGAAACATGAGGGCGAATGTTCACTGGCCAAACAAACAAACAAACAAACCAAACAAAAACCCCTTCTTCCCACCCTCCAAGCCACTCACCTTGATTTAAGAAGTTAATTGCTTTCATGCAAGCATACTCCTCATTGCTAACCTTTAGCTGATGGAACTTGTGATACAGATAGATAAGCCGCTCGATCACCTCCATCCCTTCATCACTAAATCTGGGGAACAGACACAGGGGTTAGCAGTGGGCTCTGACACCAGTGGAGGTCAGAGGAGGGAAGACAGAGGTCTCCTACAGCTCCTTAAGACATCTAACGTAGGAAAGAGAATGGGGGAAATGGAATCCAGAACTGTTTATGAAGCATAGCTCATACAAGCTGTTGGTCCCAAGGTCAGGTGGGGTCAATCAAATCTAAGGTCAAATTCAGCTCCATCACATGAAATCTACCAGACCTTGGGAAAGTCATTTGACCCCTCTAAGCTTTGAGGTCCTCCTCTATACAATAATGCTTGCCTGCTTGGGGTAACAAGTGCCAAAGGAGGTATGGGATGTAAATGTGAGGAAATATGACATTATTAATATACTCCTACTGTTGAGATGCGGCCTGCAGTGTCAGTGGTGGCTGCCATGGTGACTCTATGCCACAATGCAGAAAAGGCTGTGGATCGTATTTGTTTAGGCTCACGTTTCCAGCAGGGCTGAGGTTAGGCGCAGTGAAAATTTTTATTGATATCCCTGACTTTGTCTAGGAAGGGAGGGAAACAATAACTGAGCCTCCGTGCCATGCCAGTCTCTGTGCTGCGCACTTGATGTGCATTATCTCATTTAATTTTCTCAGCCCTATGGGCTAGGTGAGATTATCAACACCACTGCACAGATGAGAAAATGAAGTTCAAAGAAGAGAAGGGACCGGTCCACAAGTTTGCAGCTAGTTAGTGGCAGAGCTAGAACCTGGAATCTGGTCTACCTCCCCAAGGCCTTGGCTTTCCCAATATCTAAGGTGGCACCCCCTAGCAGAGAAGACTCAATGCTCCTTTCTTGGGATTAGCAGTAAGCTCCTTGAGGAAAGACCAAGTTTTAGGCAAAGGAGCCTCAGGCTGGGGGACTAATACTCTGGGTCATAGTGGGGAATGTCTCATGTCAGAGATGAGATACCATCAAATCAAGGACGCAAAGGTTTAATGAGGAAGCAGGCAATTATGAAAGCTGAGGTCAGGCCCAGCCTCTGCTCTTCCGGGAGTGGGCTGGACTGTGGGCCAAAGTGAGCTCCAGACAGGCCTTAGATACAGCTCAGTCACACAGAGATGCTCGGCCCAGAACTGTTTCCTGGTGATTAGGTTCAGATCTGGGAGCTGCAGCTCAGTGACAGGCAAGAAGGCCCTAACTGGGTAGGACCCAGAATACCTGCAGATGCACTACTGCTTTCTGTTTTGACTGTGAGGCTTTGCAAGGGCTTGGCTTCCTGGACAAGCCGGATATTTCCCTTCACCTGGGAAAGCCGGGCTCTGGCTGGGGTCAGAGGCACCTGCACCTCGCAAGCACCAGGGGGAGCTGCAGAGCAGCTCCTGGCAATCGGAGCTCTGACCATCTGCCTCAAGGCTGGCTCCCAGTCAGACAGAGCTGGGGCTTCTTTCAGCCTGCTGATCTGAGCTACCATGGCTGACTCTGTTTCTCTCTGCTCTTGGCCCACTGGCTTTTACAACTTTATTGATATTTTCCCAGACTGGCTGACAGACAAATTTATACTGAATAACCACTATAAATAACTTTACCTACCATTCTACCATTTAGTGAGTGTTCACGCCTTGCCAGGCACTTAGTTAAATATTCTATATACATTATTTCACTGGATATTCCCAACAAATGACCCAAATGGATGTTATAATCTTCTTCGCTCACATGCAGAAACAAAGCTCAGAGGTTATTTACTGTGCCCCTACTACATTCTTAGTTTACTCTCCTGACAACTTTTGAGATTAGTAATGTCACCTTGTTAGGGGTGAGGAAGCAGAAGATGCCTTCCCCAAGGTTTACAGTCCGTTTTCTACTTCTAAGCCTGTCACTCTCTCAGCACTACACCATCTCCCCTTGCTCGTAACTGGTAACTGGGGAAGGCTACCACATGCTGCCACGGGACCCCAGGAGCTCTCTGTTCCATAGCAACAGCCCAGGGCCCAACCCAGAGCGAGTGCTGAGTTTCTCAGCGCACAGAGCTGCCCTGTGGAGCTCCTGTTAGGAGACTCGTAGGAGGCAGCATGCCCTGGGGTGCAGGTCACTCCTCATCACAGTACTTGGTTGGCTATTTCTGTCCTCGAGAGGAAAGGGTCTTCAGCGCAAATTCCCTCTACTGTCTGCTTGGAGGGGTGAGGCAGAGATGGAGTCATCCAGGTAGGGCACAGCAAAGGGGGGTGCAGTGTCAGCATCTGTCTGGTGGCGGTGTAGCAAGCGAAGATAACACTCTCCCTTAATCAGCAACCTCTCGCCCCAAGTGCTCACTCTGGCACTGCAGAGTCTGCAGGTGTGTGGCTGTCAGCCAGACCCCTGGCCAGGAGTGCCAAACCTACTCCTGGCCGAGTCTTGACCTGAGGGGCACAGAGGAGCTCCCGAGTGCCTGGCCTGAGCATATGCCCCAGATCTGCCCTTTCTCTTGGGGAGAGCACATATCTCTTTTCCAAATTTCTTAGGACAGGCTACCATCACGGACCCCTGGCAGTGGTGGGGGGGCTGGCAGCTAGCCCAGCAGCCCCCACTCAGTCTCCACAGTCTGACTGCAAAGCTTTCTTCCACAGCCCGCATCCCACCCCTTGATAAACAAACTGTTCTCTGTCCCATGGGCCTGCTTCCTCCAGCAGCCGTGCCTCCTCCACATCAGCCCACTCCACAGTTCTAACGCCCCTGTATTCCCGTCTACAAGTTATCAGCATTCAAAGCCAGAAAGTTGACAAACACACCCATTCTTCTTCTAGGTTCTCATTACGCAAGCATGCTAGGACAAGGAAAACATTCCTGCCAGGATCCCCCAAACCACTGGACCATTCAGTCAGCAATTGAAGCTGACACTATATAAGTTATGTCCCATTAAGGGCGCTGAGAGGCCCAGTTGTCTCTTTTTCATTCATCTAAATGCACCTACCCCCAGGAGCAGTCATCAGCCACAACGGTAGAGGAACTGCCATCTTGGTACCCACATCAGACTCCAAGATGAAAAGTACCAGGGCACATTCCAGAAAGTCGAACTTTCCAGAAGGCTAGAGACTTTAGCACAGGGTAATGGCGAAGAGCCTGGCTTTGGAGCACAAAAGATCTAGGTCATAAACTTAACTCCATCTCTTTCTAGCTTTGTAGCCTTGAGTTTTCGCCTCTTTGAACCTCATGTTCCTCATCTGTAGAGCAGGGGTAGTGTGAGTATAGCCTCGTAGGGTGGTGGTGAGGCCTAAACAAATAATGTTTCCAAAGCACTTAAGATGGAATTTAGCACAATAAACAGTCTATAATCCTTAGCTATTATCGTTATTAATAGCATCGATACCATCACTCCCACTACCACAGAAAAAAGAAAAGACTGTGTGTGTTTCCTGAACCTTACAGCCGGGTCTGAGCGGGAAGCTGGGAGGAAATTTCCAGAGATCTGGCAGAAATGGAGCTAATGCTCACGAGGCAGAAGCGCCCATTAAAGCCCATCCAGTGCAAGGCATCTTCTCCTGCGAGTGAAGGAGTCTTGATTAGGGCCAGGAGCAGTCGCTGGCTGGTGCTACAATCTGCTTTAAATCAAATTCACCCAGCTCACTGTCTGATAACAGCCTGATTAAGGAAAATGGGCACCATAAATTTGATTCGATATTTGAGAAGAGAAAAGGAGGGGGGTCATGTATCATCCGGGAAAAGCCTTTTCATGACAGCAGGAACTCACTTGCACTCAAGAGCTGTGAAAAAGTAAAGGCATCTGGGGGAGTAACGCGGGGGCAGGCAAGGTAGGGAAGAGCTACGGCCAATTACAGACTCCACGCCCTGGGTTTCCAGCAGAGTGGAGACTGCTTTACAGCGATGAACCTGGTTCTGGAGGTTTTCATAGTTCCATTTCCTCTGACCTCTTGGGCAGTTCTACATGCATCTCAGACTCAACAGACCCCAAATCAAACTCAGAGTGAGTGGCTCATCTCTCAGCTTGTTCTTCCCAGCTCCATTATTTTGGCTAAGACAACTGGTCTGGTGGCCAGTCTCTTTCCACTCACTGAAGTCCCACTGACTTTCCCTCCTTGCCACATCTTAGGTCTGTGCTACTCTCTCTACTCAGCGACACAGTCACTGCCGCTTTGTCCAGGCCTAGTTTCCTTTTAGCTGAGCTATCGAACAGCCACCTATCCAGATGCTGTCCTCTAGCCCTGTCCGTGTCAATCCATCCCGAGCTATACAGCCACAGAGATTTTTCTAAAATGCAAACTGACCGTGTCATTGCTTCACTTAAAAATGTCCCATGACAATACCATTTAGACAAAATCCAAATCCTTTAGATTGGCATTCGAGCGCCTTCGTGACCTGTCCTTTCCGCAGCCTTCTCTCCAGCCACTTCTTCCCTGATCTCTGTCTCTCAGGTACACTCTCTCTGTACCCTAATCCACAGCACTGCCTTTGGTTCTCCGCAAAAAGCGACCATCTCGGATCTCTAACTTCCAGGACTTTGTGTAATTCTCCCGCGTTCATCCTGTTCTCTATAATCTACCTAGAAAACTCCCACTTCAAGGTACAGCTCAAATGTCTTCCTCTGGCAAGCATTCCTTGATTACGCAAGTAGAATAACTCACTCCCTAGTCTATGCTTGCAGTCCCTCATATGCCCCTCGATCTCCACCAATATCACCCTAGACCATAGGTTGTATTTCCTTCTATTTGCCTCCCAATCCCCTAAACCAAAAATAGGGACTCTCATCTCAGTCAGAAACCACGTCTGCATAGTCTGTACTCCCAGCACCCTTTCCCCACAGCATACAAGCAAGTGCTCGGTAAATGGGCCTGGACTCAGAACTAACATGCTGAAGTCTAACCTGCATTTCTCCATTGAAGGCTTCCATAGTACAGTAAGAGTCCTAACAAAAAAAACTGCTTTTTTATCCTCAAATCCATTTGAGAGCTCAGCAGCAACTGATGTGTTTGAGTCAGCATTTTGACGAACTTTCTGCAACGATGGAAACGTTCTGGATCTGCACTGTCCAGTAGAGCGGCCGCTAGCCACAGGTAGCTACTGAGCACTTGAAAGGTGGTTTGTGTAAGCGAGGAACTGAATTTTTAATTTCATTTAATTTTAATTAATTAAAATTTTAAAAGCCCCCTGAGGCTAGTGGCTACTACAATGAACAATGCAGCTCTAGATTCTCCTCAGATAGGAGCCTTCCTAGGAAATAAAAATTCCCTTGCTAATTCAGCTGTTACTGGCCCCTGCCCTGTTCTTGGGGTGCATGGGATTAGACATACCGGGGTGAGGTGCCTTATGAAGCTCAAAACCAGAGAGGCCCCACATGACCAGTGGTCGCTTCCACCTGCAAAAGGCCTGGGAAAACCCATCACTCCACAGAGCGTGGAGCCCACTGGCTGAGCCGACTCTGGAGGCAGTCCCAGGCTGCACTGGTAGATTCCGGGGAGGCCAGGCCTGCTGGGCCAGTTCTGCAAACCCTGGTGATATTAGAGCAGGCTGACTGCTATCCAAACACTCAGCCCAGAGTTACAGAGCCGGAGATAGGAATTTGATGGAAACAATGAATTAGAGGCTCAAGACAAGGGGTTAGGTCATTTGCAAAATCAGATAGCTCTGTTTACAGGACGAAGTGTCAGCTGGGTTCAAAACTCTGTCATATAGATCACTCTGAAGCCAGTAAACATCACTAAAAAGGAGAAATTAGAAAACCAGAAGAGAAAGTCAACACCCAGACTCCTCCCTCCCTCAGCTGTGCACAGGGCCCTCGAGGGTTTGGGGTTTTGCTTTTAGCCAAAGTCTCGGCCTGTCTTGATGCCATGTGATTGGGTGCCAGAGGGAGGTGTACCCCAGTCCTGTTTATAGAAGTGTGGGAGCTGGTACCTCACCCTCTCCAGCTTTTATCAGTGGGGGCACTTTTTCTTCCCTCTTTCTTGGTGCTCTGGAATCTCATGCTTTCCGTTATTTTAAACTGTCCAATAAAGATGAATTACTGAAATGTCTATTTAAATATGATTTAAGAGTCTATGGCCATGCTACTCTGAACAAGCCTCATCCCATCTGATCTCGGAAGCTAAGCAGGGTCGGGCCTGGTTAGTACTTGGATGGGAGACCACCTAGGAAGACCGGGTGCTGTAGGTGTAAAAAATTTTTAAAAATAAATAAATAAGGGATTGTAAGCTGACAAGGTCCTTGTAATTTGTGAAGTCAACCAAGGGCTGCCTCGCCTAAAAATATATATATATGTGATTTAAGCTATATTTTTCACATGGATAAATTAATAAGCCAGAAAAGTTGTATCAACATCACTTTGTCCTGATTTGGGGGTGTCACCACGTGCTCCAGGTCTCCAAAGTGAGTGAATAAAAGATCTGTTCTACGGAGGGAAGTTAGAAGGATCCCGGCCAGCTGGGATGAGACTTTATGCTAGAAAACATCAAGGAGAACAACGGTCTCTCAGCCCCATGCTCTTAGCATCTCAGATGCACTGAAAGAGCCTAAGCTCTGCAGTTGGGCAGGTCTCTCTGACCTTTAGTTTTCTCATTTATAAAATAAACATAACCACGCCTATAATGCTGGAGGCTTGAGAAATAAGACAATCATATAAAATACTAAGCCCGTGCCTGGCACACAGTAGGTACCACAGTGACTTCTAGGTCTTGTTCTCAGATTGTAAACTATAGCTCAGAGGCCCTCACTTTACAAGTGAAGTTTAGATTTTTGTTTTTCCCAGATATCTTATCTTACCTCAGTAATCCACACGTGATAAAGGTAACAGTTTAGCACTCTGCTATGCTTTGCTACACAATATCATTTATTTCTCACAACTACCTTGCTGGGGAGGTTATCATCCCATTTGTTGTTTGTATTGGTATTATACCATTTTATAAATTCAGAACCTGAGGATCACAGACTTGAGCAAGGTTACAAAACTAGTCAATGGCAGTGTGAAGATTCAGATCCAATCCTGTATGGCTTTAATGCCCAACCTCTGGAGTGCCAGGCAACTCTGCCACTTTGCAGGAATGACAATGAATGGGGCGGGGGTGGGTGGGGACTGACAACTGGTTGCTGGGGAACTCCTTCCCAGCCAGGAGCCCTCACCTGTGCAGTTCTTCATCAGAGGGTGAGTACTTGGCGGTGACGTCAGCCAGCTCCCCGAAGATCTGCTTGCTGTAAACGGTGAGGGAGGACAGCAGGATTAATTCCTGCCACGTGGAGCTCAGGAGGCACGTGTAATCCTTGATTGAGAGCTCGCAGAAGAAAGGCAGTTTCTTGATCCAGGCAATCTGCCTAAAGAGCAGCTCATCGGCCAGGCGGCAGAGCAGCGCAAACAACTCTGCCTGGGTCACAGTGTATCTAGGGGCAGGGACAGGAGCAAGTCACTTCCAGTGGCAGAGGGTGAGGATCGGGGGCACAGGGAGAGGGTATGCCCAAGGGCACAAAGAGTCTGGCAGTGGGCTCCTTGCCCTTGACCATGGATCCCAGCTCCGTTCAATTCAGTCTAGTGATAAAAGGGCAGGGCTGGGGCCAGCAGCAAGTTTAGGCCTGAAGAGACGGTTTGGTGAGAAAAGGTTGCTGGGGAGAAAGGAGGCTTAGAAATGTGTACAATTAGCAGGGAACATGACTTTGAATGTCGGTGTCCACTAACGTTTCATGTGTCAAGAGAAAATTCCCAGTCACTCCTGAACTAGTTTTGGCAATCAAGGCCCCATTAGGGGGATCTGGTACCCACCAAATACAGGAACTGGTGGAAAAACGAGCCTGGGGCTCGATGGCTGAAAGACAGCAGAACAAATTCAGCAGCTTTCCTGCTCTCACCGCACCCCCTGGTGGTGAGAGCTCAGGGACTAGAGCCGCTCCGCCCTGCCAAGCTCCTGCTGGAGGAGGGAAGGAGCAGGGCGTTTCTCATCTCTGGCCTGGATGACAAAGGGTCCAGATTTTCTTCCTCGCAAGGACCCTTAGAATGATTCTTCTCCACACTCTCCTATCCAGATTTATAAAGGTTTTGTGTGGCCTTCTTGGAGGTAGATATTTAAATTTCCTCTCTGAAAGTAGAGACTAGCTTAAGAAATCTCAGGATACCTTTTGGAAGGTGTCTAAGTTTAGAAACACTCAAAGAGCCTATGCTCCAAGCCAAAGGGGTAACAAGTGCAATGGGAGGGATGGGGGCTACAGCCTGTGCTATCTACTCGGAGAGAGCCGACGGAGGGCTGTAAGGTCATCCCTTTCCGCCCACTCAGGCCTGCACACAGAGCACAGGGCACCAGGCTACCCATGGGTGCGTTGGCTAGAGACGCAGCCAGGCCACAACCTATTTAGTGCCCTGAGTGCCTTGTTAAGGAGCCTAGACTTGATGTATAAGTATCCCCAGAACTATAGCTTATCTTTGGTTCAGCGGCGCTGACTCATCCCAGGGGCTGACTTACCTAGGTCTAAGCAGAAACAAAAGCCCTTTACTCCCAATTCCCTAGGGACTGATAAAGAGCCCTAACTCTAAGAAAAAATATGCTCCAGAGAAAAATGAAGGACCACTGACTTCAAAGATAAGCACAGATCTGTCCTCTGATACTGGGTCCTCACTCATCCCCAACTCATTCTGAAGCCCAAGGGTATAGCTGCCAGGGATGAAGGTGGGTGTGGGGTAGAGAACATTGTGAAGCTGCAAGGGCTAAAATAGGGCAGGACTCACTCACCCATCTTCGATCAACATGGGTGTGCCCAATGGCTCCAGGTCCTCAGCTGACACGAGCTGGTGAATCAGACTGTATGACTGGGGATCCAGGCTGCGAGCTTGTGGGGGCAGAAGTGGCGAGTGGGCAGAATAGCTAAAAAGGTGCGGTATGTATTGATAGTGTGGAGGCACAGACATCCCCACGTACTGCTCCCTGAATGCCATGAATCCATTCAGTTCCACAGACCTGCTGGAGAGAAGAGTCTCACGTCAGGCAGAACCATGGCAGGTCTACTGCCTCCTCAGAGGAAATGAGCCAGAGGTGGCTCGAGTGGTCTTCGGCCATGGAGTCTGCCTTCATCAAGCCAGGGACATAATTAATGGTTACACACATCTCTTCCTTTTCAGAAAGAGAGAGAGACTGTGCGAGTTTATGTGTGGCTCACCACTAGACACCCAGGACCTGGCAGAGTAGACACTGAATAAATATTGGCTAAATGCATCCTTCATACAGGTGCCACATTTGGAGAATTCTTAATGGATACTCAGACTAGGATAACAAAGGTGGGTGCTTGTTTTGGGTGGGTGTGTGGGTGTGTGTGTGTGTGTGGTGTTGTGTTTTACTGTTAGGAAAACTAAGGCACAGACAGGCTAAGTGCCTTGCACAAAACAAATCCAGCACCCAGCAAGGAACCCAGCATGTGGCAACAACTCCCTAAACATTCAAAGGAGGGAACAAACTAAGGAACAACTGAATGAATAAAGGTTATAATAAAATATGAAGAAAAAGGCAGATTCTTATTTTCCTTCCCTTTTTTGGAGAATTCTAGCCAATGTCAACTAATTAAAAAAAAAAAAAAAAATCCTACAGCTTTACCTAGCTGCATCTCCTAAAATAGGGGTCAGCAAACTATGGCCCAGGACCTGTTTTGGTAAATGAAGTTTTATTGGAACATAGCCACACGCATTCATTTACCTATTGTGACTGGCTGCTTATACACTCTGACGACGCAGGTGAGTAGTTGAGACCTAGACCATAGCCCTGCAAAGCTTAACATATTTACTATCTGGCCTTTACAGACAGTTTGCTGATCTCTTTCCTGTAAGAAATATTTCTGAGCAAAGAAAGCCTTCCCTGGTAGCCAAGGGCTATATTTCATACCTAACAATTAACTTAAGATACCATTCTTGAACCAAGAGTCTCTAAACTGGTATTCCATGACAGCAGCAAATCTGACTAGGTTAAAAAGTTTTCACTATTTCTTAAAATTTATTTATTTATTTTTATTTTTTAGGCTAGGCAACCCTTGGTTGACCTTCTCGACTGCCCTTGTCAGCTTACAATCCCTAATTTTTTAAATATTTTTAAGCCTACAGCACCTGGTCTTCCCAGGTGGTCTCCCATACAAGTACTAACCAGGCCTGACCCTGCTTAGCTTCTGAGATCAGACAGGATCGGGCTTGTTCAGGGTAGCATGGCTGTAGACTCACTATTTCTTAAAATTTATAGTGAAAATCTTCACTATTGCTGAGGCAGAGAAATTATAACTTAATTTAATATTGTCAGTGTGGCTTGTTTTATCTCAATGATAAAGTAAATGTGAGAAAAGAGCTACATTTAACATGTTGCTCTGTTAGGTAAAGAATGTATGGGCACAGAGAGCAGATATAGCACTTCATCAGTCTGCAGAAGAGACTGCTGACATTTTCAAGGTCTTCAGCAAAAAAATGGGTTATCAAATCCTGTTGTGCATCATCCTGGGCCCTACCCCAAAGGACTGAGGGAGCAAGGGTACAATGGCGGAGACAGGCTGGCAGGAATACTCAGCCCAGAGGGCTCCTCATGGGTCCACTCTCTGGGTGACCGCTAGGTGATGCTGGGTTTGCCTTGAAGCTCACCTGGAGGACAGTGTGGAGCCTGGTGAGGGCTGGTTGCTCTCTGAAGCCCTGTTCCCAGGGGAACTGTGGTCGCTGTCACCATGGTTGCTCCAGTGATTGGCCTCTTCCTCAAATTCCTGCCCAGACATGATCCTTTCGATCTCTTCCTCTGATATCTTTGACAAAGAATTGGTACATGTTAGACTGTGTACGCGGGACACCATCTGTTCCTTCTTTAGAACTGAGACATTATTTAAACCTCATGGGGATTTCCAGAACACTCTAAAGAGAAACCCAGATGCCCTCCCCTCCACTCCCATGACCAGGTCTCTCACTAATCTAGGAGAGCTTTGCCCCAGCACCATGGCTCACTTCTTGCCCATTGACCACCGCCCCTGCAAGCCACAAAACCTCTAGGTTCTTCAACACTCCTTTATGTCCTCGAGTGTAATCTTTCCTACCCCCGAAACACTACTTTTCGAATGTCACCTTCTTTGCGAATCCTTCTATCACTACCTAGACAAAATTTTAAGTCCTTCTTCTATCCACTCATAATTCTGTGTATTCTGAGAGGGGCAGAATAGCATAGTGGGGTTAAGAATATGAATTCTAGAGTCAGACCACTTTTGCTCTAACTCAGGTTCTGCCACTTTCTAGTTGTACAGTCTTGGGCAAGTCATTTAACTACTTGAACCTCAATCCTTCAGCTCTATAGTGGAGAGAATAGTATCTATCTCATAGGATTGTTGTGAAGATTAAATTAGTTAATATATCATTACATGTATAGAAAAGGGCCTAGCACATTAGCAACAATTATGGAAGGTTGACCAATGATATCTTCATCATTATTGTTATTTTTATAGCACTTATGGTAATGAAACATGAAAATATCCTCTACAAGACCTAAGACTATGAAAGGACCTAAAAAAAGTAAATATTCAATAAATGCATGCTAGATAAGTGAATAAATGTTCACTTATTAAGTAATGACCGCAAACCTTCACATGAATTTTCTTAGTAAGAAAGACATTCCTAAGCCTATTGAATAAATAAGAAGACACTGCAGCTAAGACAAAGGCCCAAGATCACACTGCATGCCCACGTCTGGGCAGGAGTTGGAGGAAGAAGCCAGAGTATCCAAGCATTCAGTCTAGTGCCCTAGCTACACCACACAAGGAGTAAATAAACACTTGTATAAAGTGTCCGACCCAGAGCTGAGGCCTAACCAGCTCAACTCAGCACGCAGAAGGAGAGTGAGTGCTAAGGAGGAAGGGCCAAATGAATTTTTATTTCTTGTTTCTACGAAAAGCATGGGAGGACATTTTCTCCCAAGTCTGTCTAACTCAAACCTACATAATTCTTTGCTCCAGGAGTCTGTGAGGAAACCTTGAGCTGCTCCGATCAGAAATACAGGAGGCATTTAGAACTGAAAGCCAGCTAGAACACAGGGCTTGGAGGGAAAACGAACGTTTAACTGGTGTACAAGTTGAGTGAGTGGTCGTAAATAGTTTGGATTGCATGTTGAATTAGCAGGGTTGTCTTTATTCAGTCACATGGAGCAACAAAACAAAACTTTTCTCTTAAGGGTCCGTAGAGCACTGAAATCCCTATTTGCATTTTATAAGATATGTGAAGATAAATGGTGCCATCAAACTCTAAGACATCTACTGAGGCCCTGAAGACTGAGGCATCTCTGTGATGGCGATGAGAGCAAGACCAGAGCTTGGTGGGTGGGCAGGGAATCACTTGAGGTGTGGGAAAAGGGCCAGTCCTGGAAACTTCAGCTTACTTCAATTGGGAACCAAAGTGAAACTACACCTGTGGGTCCCAAAGGACACTGGGCAATCATTGATACACTGAACAGGGGATAGAATGTGTGGGAGTGCTTGAATCTGGGATCAAATCTCATCTGCGATTTCCTAGCTGGGCACTACTGGCCAAGTCATTCAAGTTCTCTGAGCCTTAGCACCTTCCTGTATAAAATGGAGATAATGCCACCTCCCTTGTAGCTCAGGGTTCCCACGCAGCATGCTGGAATATAGAAATAGGCAGGTTTCAGTCAGACTTGGGAGGTTAATCTAAAAGTTACAGAGTGCAAGTGCACAACAGGTGCTCAATAAACGAAAATTCTAGCCCTTCTTATTTTAATTATAATTAAACACAGTTAAGAACTTGGAAATCACAGCTCTCTCTTCCTAACACATCCCAGAAATTATAAAAGACTAAAAGGAAAATTATGTTCAGTATCAAAAAGTCAAACGCAATGATAGATGAAATAGGTTTCTCTGAATATCAGCTCCCTCAATTCTGCACAGAGTCTAGAAATGTAAGCAACTGAAGATCCCTTGGCATGGTAGGAGAGCTACACATATACTCAAAAAACATTAGGTAGAGCTACACATATACTCAAAAAACACTGAGGAAATGCTACAAAATTCTTCCTGATGAGTAAATTTTCTACTGCATCTTAATGTAAAACGAATGAATACAAATAAAGGTCATTTATGTAAACCCCAAAGCTAACGTCATACTCAATGGTGATAAACTGAAAGGTTTTCCTCTAAGATCAGGACAAGGGCAAGGATGCCCACTCTTAACACTTCTATTCAACATGGTACTGGAAGTCCTAGCCAGAGCAATTAGAGAAGAAAAAGAAATAAAAGGCATCTAAATCAGAAAGGAAGAAGTAAAATTATCTCTGTTCACAGATGACGTGATCTTATATGTATAAAACCCTAAAGATTCCACCAAAAAAAACCCAACCTGTTAGAACTAATAAAAGAATTCAGCAAAGTTGCAGAATACAAAATCAACATATGAAAATCAGTGGCATTTTTAAATGCTAATAATAAGTTTTCTAAAAAGGAAATTAAGAAAACAATCTCATTTACGATAGTGTCAAATAGAAAATACTTAGGAATAAACTTAACTAAGGAGGTGAAAGACGTACATATTATTGAAAGAAATTTAATGCTGCTGAAAGAAATTAAAGACATAAATAAATGGAAAGACATCCTGTGTTCATAGATCGAAAGACTTAATGGTGTGAAAATGTTCATACTACCCAAACTTATCTATAAAGTCAATAAAATCCCTATCAAAATTCCAATGGCACTTTTTGCAGAAATAGAAAAAGCAATCCCAAAATTGTTTAGGATTTAGAACCCAAAATAACCAAAACAATCCTGAGAAAGAACAGCAAAGCTAGAGGTCTTACAGTTCCTGATTTCAAAACACATTACAAAGCTATAGTAATCAAAACTATACAGTACTGGCATAAGGAGAGACACAGAGACCAGTGTTAACAGAATAGAGCCCCCAGATAAACACATACAAATATGGTCAAAGATCTTCGACAAAGACGCTAAGACTACACAATCAGGAATAGTTTCTTCAAACAAGTGGTTCTGGGAAAACTGGATATCCATAGGCGAAAGAATGAAATTAAACTCTTATCTCACACCATACTCAAAAATCAACTCAAAATGAATGAAAGACCTAAATGTAAAACCTGAAAATATATAACTGCTAAAAATAAACAAACAAGCAAAACAGAAAAAAAGCTTTTTGACATTGGCCTTGAAAATGATTTCTTGATATGACACCAAAAGCACAGGTAACAAAAGCAAAAATGGACAAATGGGATTATACCGAACTAAAGAAACTTTTGCAAAGCAAAGGAAACAATCAACCAAGTGAATAGGCATCTTAGAGAATGAGAAAATATTTTCAAACCATATATCAGATAAAGGGTTAACATCTAAGATATACAGGTAATTCCTGTAATCCAATAGCAAAAACAAAACAAAACAAAACAAAACCTGATTAAAAAATGGGCTAAACACTTGAATATACATTTCTCCAAAAAAGATATATAAATAGACAACAGGTACATGAAAAGATGCTCGACATCACTAATCATCACGAAAATGCAAATCAAAACCACAGTGAGTTATCACTCCACACTTATTAGTATGGCCATTATCAGGAAGAAAAAAAAAGAAAACAAAATAAGTAGGACTGGAGAGGATGTGGAAAACTGAAACTCTTGTGTACTTCTGGGTGGGAATGTAAAATGTAAAATGGTGTGGCCACTATGGAAAACAGTATGGAGGTTTCCCCGCCAAAAACCCACCTGACTGTCCATTCATGGATGAATGGATAAACAAAATGTGGAATATACATGCAATGGACTATTACTGGGCCTTAAAAAAAAAGAAGGAATCTTGTCATAAGTTACAACTGGATGAACCTTGAAGACGTTATGCTAAGTGAAATAAGGCAGTCACAGAAGGATAAATACTGCATGGTTCCACTTACATGAGGTATCAAAGTGGTCAAATTCTTATATGGGGAAAGCAGAATGGTTGTTGCCAGGGACTGGGGGGAGGGGAAATAGGGAGTTGCTGTTCAATGGGTATAAAGTTTCAATCGCAAGGTGAAAAAGTTCTAGAGATCTGCTGTAAAAAAATGTGCATATAGTTAATACTGTATACTTAACAATTTGTTAAGGATGTAGATTTCATGAGTTGTTTTTTTTTTTTTTACCACAAAAAGAGCAGCTATGAGCATAGACCAAAATAAATTAGTTTGCAAGAAATATATATGACTTGAATAACATCAATAAAAATATTTGATTTTAAAAAAGAGAGAGAATGAATAAACACACACTGACACCCCAACTGAGGGCATGTTATGTACCAAGCCCATGTGACAGGAACCCCCCCATATGGCGTCAGTGTACGTCTCAAAACAACTCTGAATTCTTGTCTCTCTCATTCCCCACATTCGATTGGATAAATCCTATTAATTCTATCTATTAAATATCTCCTGAATCTATTCCCTCTCCTCAATATGCACTATCATTGCCCTGCTTAAAACCACTTTCTCTATATCTCTTGTTTGGACTTCTGTAAAACCCTTTATAACCCTTCTTCTCTGTCCCCAGTCTCACTGACCCTTATCCAGGTCTGTTTCACTGACCCTTACTCACGAACTGTTTTCACTGCTAGAATGATCTTTCTAAAATGCAAATCTGACCATGTCCCTCTCTTTACTTAAGACTTTTTAGTGGTTGCCTCTTGGTCTATACCAATAATTCTTGAGGCACGGTCCCTGTCCGCTAGTGTGCTCAGGGATTCACTTCATGGGTCAGAAACAGATCCAACTCTCTATACTCATAAAGTTCTTCTGCTGAGAAGTAAGATCAAGCAGTGTAGGCTGGCCCCACAAAGGTTTTACCTAAGGAGCCATATTCGAAGACAGCTGAAGGCCACTCTGGAGAACTGATCCCAAGTTCAAGGAATCTACCTTATCTGCTGCCACTGCATGTGCTCAGTGCTCCAGCCTGACTGAACGAACTCCTTGACCTTCTTTCAAGATTCATCTCTTGGTCTTTTTGCTGTCTGTCCTGTCTGGCAAGACTAAAAGGTGATTGGCTTCCCGCCCCTTCCCAACATAGTGATAATTCCTACTTTTCCTTCAAGACTCAGTTCAAACTTTACCTTGTCTATGAAGCCTTCCCTGAGTGTCTTCAGTCTCCCGCATGGCTCCAATCCAAACAGAAAAGAAGCCCCTCCCTTCTGGGCATACTCTGTTATGCTCACTGTATTCTGATGTCTTTACATATCTGTCTCTCCCACTAGACTCAGTTCAAGGTACAGGGGGCCTGGCACAGAGTTAGTACTTAGTAAATGTTTGTTGGACTAAATGGATATTATCATTCCTACTCTGCAAATAAGGCAATCTTTTCAGCTGATATATCTTCAGAAACACTGAACAGCAAAGTAGTCTTGCTGATTTCTGCCAGGCCATGTTTGTCTACAACCTTAAATCACTGACATAAAAAATCTTCTGAATGGTTTAGAACCAGAATTAGGTTCACTCCTTGTGAAATCTCTAGGAAAAGTTGAGGGATTGATCACAAGAAGAACTTCAATCATTATGTTATGTATTTAAGATTTTCAAAGCACTTTCATCTCCAGGCTCCAAAAGCAGTTTTATAGGAAGGAACACCAAGATTAACTGCCCCCAGGAGCAGACGAGAGGATCAAAGTGAGCAGCCACAGAAGTATCTGGAACTCAGGATGGATCACAAAGAGTGAGGACTAGAACTCACCTGGACTGGCCCAATGCTCTTGTTCCGGCCTCCAGGCATGCCGTCTTCTCTGATTGCTGGAAGGAAAGATAAGACAGTCAGAAGCATGCTTACAGCAGTCTGGGCACAAAAAGAAAACTTATTTGGCCAAAGCACAAGGTAGTTTTTGGTGACGCCAAGATTAAAACACAGGTCTTTCTGGACTCAAAGCACATACTCTTTCCATTATTCCAGGCAACCTCATAAGCATTAGATACTTTTGGCCCCTGAGGCACTGGGTACACGCCACACGCACTGTATACATTCCACATGCTCAACAAAAGTGACAACATTATTAATAGTCCCACAGTTACACATATCCCACCAGAATGGTACATCTGAAAGTTTCAGTAAATTCAAGGAGAGGGATAGAAAGGATATTTTCATTCTTAATTTTTTTCCAGACTGTCTGAGTTGAATTTGTAGGATAAGAACAGGTTTTTTTGTTTTTGTTTTTGTTTTAATTAATCAGAATTTTGACTTCACTGGTTCCTCCCTACAAAGGCAGTCTACTAAGCTTCCTTGAAGTTGATTTCCCACTCAGGTGACTCAACAAAAAGAAGTTATTCAGCATTTTCTAACTATAAAAAGCATCCTTTAAATAGTACCAGCCTCATTAAGAATAACAATTATGAATACTATTACCTTCCCTGTTTATGGAGCACTTAATACAGGGACACAGAGAAGGAACCCTTGATTTGCAATTATAGAAAGGCGTTGGTGTCTGGCAAAGCTTTCTGGAAAAAACAACTCCTGAACCAAATTCTAAAGGAGAGAGAGAGAGAAAGAGAAAGAGAGAGAGAGATAGAGAGAGAGACAGAGAGGGAGGGAGGGGGTGAGCTTGAGGAGCCAATGGGGTCAGATCACAGAGAGCCTTGAATGCCAGGCTAAAAGAATGAACTTTAGCAGAGGAGCCGGTGCATAAGATGGAATGTAGTAGGAGAGGGATGAGGGTAGGTTGGTGGTTTTGAAAAATCTGTGATGGCTACTGTGGAGGGTGGTTTGGAGGGAGTAAGAGGATAAACAGGGGATAAGCTAACGCCATCATGTGAGAGCAACCTTTGCCCTGATATACTTACTTCAAAAAAAATTAACATGAAGAATGCAGAAAATCTTTGGGGCAGGGCTGGCCGCCTCAAGAGGATCGTTCTAGTCCTCACTCTCCAAGCATAACACTCATCCCTGTGGTAACTGCAAGGCTGACGGGAAGTTGGCTCTCCTTAAAGGAGACATCCTATTTACTAGACTAGCCTTAGAAGGTTATACACCTCACAATTAGACAAATTCGGGTCTAAATCTTGTTTCTGCTTGGTCTGTGTAATTACAGACAAGTTTCTTCGCATCTCTGAATAAAACTTCAGAATAAAATTTACTGAAGAATAAAGAAGGGTTGTTGGAACCTGTCTTATGGGGGTATTATAAGGAATATATATAAAATAATATAGTTAAAGCACCAAGCATAGGGCCTGGCTTATCAAGTAGCCTAATCCTTTCCCCAGCCTCTTTTCTCCAAACTCAGGAGTGAAAAAAACCAAGGTTCCACTCTCAACTTTGTTAAATAAAGCCTTAGTATCTTCATCTGTGAAATGGAAGCAACAGTCTGCTTTACAAGGCTGCTGTAAATGTGGAGTGACAAACATACACGGCCCACGTTAGGGCTGGAAGCATGCTTGGTTGTTGTCTCGGAGCTCTCTTTCAACCCAATTTCGAGTTCTAAAGATCCTTAAAATTCCTTCTCCGCTGTTCCAGGGTCAATGACAGTCTTCAGGCATTTCTATTTCCAATATTGACATCTCACATGTCTTTGCTTCAGCTCACAGGTACAGAACAAAGATCACTGGCAGATACAACACTGAATATATTTCACTTGATTATCTCACTCTCGCTGTCTTGGAGGCGAGGAAGAAACTCAACATTCTTTCCTTTTTGTTTAAAAGGCCACAAGCTTTGAAGATTTATATCTTGCCAAGTTCTTGTTCTGATATTTAAAGTTCATGTTGACCTTTAACCCCAACCAGAGTGAGGAAACTCATATATGATGGACATTTATGATGTGTTAGGTACTACCTTGGGTAACATAAACCCATGAGGAAAGCATCAGTGTCATTCCCATTGAATCTAGGGCTCAGAGAAGCCAAGTATTCTGCTTAAGGTGACAGAAACTAAACAGCAGGATCAGGGTTGGAACCCAGACTATCAGGCTAAGACCAGCCTTCTTTCCACTACTAGTATTCCCTATAATGTGTACATCCCATTGGAGAAACAATTTTTGGTGGTGCATACATAAACCCTTAATTATAAATTTCTTAACATGCACTAAAAAATACTGATTTCCCTTTGAAAATTCCTTTTGAAAATTAACTTTTTAAAAAGTGATTTAAAGAAGTATATAAAGTAAACAATAGTCCTGGTTTAGACCAGAGATGATAAAATCTTTCAAGATGGCATGAAACTGCCTGAAGTATGGGAAACGATAAAATGTAATACAGCAGTGGTCCCCAACCCCTTTGGCACCAGGGACCGGAGCTCCTATGAGAATCTAATGCCTGACGATCTGAGGTGGAGCTGAGGCGGTGATGCTGGCGCTGGGGAGCGGCTGCAGATACAGATGAAGCTTTGCTCACTCGTCCTCCACTCACCTCCTGTGTGGCCCAGTTCCTAATAGGCCACTGATCGGTATCGGTCCACAGCCCGAGGGTTTGGGACCCCTGTCAGTTACAGTGCTTCTGTTAAAACAAAAACCTGTATATTTTAAAGCTTATAATGTACTCACTCACCTATGTTATTGTATTCAATTCTCAAAATAACCTTGGAAGGTGCACATTATTATCCTATGCAGTCGAGAGATGAAGAAACTGAAGCTCGAGGTGACAAGCGACTTGTCCGAGGTTACTCAGGGAAGGGCTGACAGAGCTGGGATTTCAGTTCGGGTCTTCTGATTCTAAAACTGTGTTTGTTCCTTGATGCTACACTGGGCTAAGAGCAAGTTTTTCAGCAGGGCTGAGAGTCTTTCTGGTAGTGAACTGATTAAAAAGAAAAACCAAAACCAAAACCAAAGGGCTTCTGGGCACCAGATCACAGGGATGGTTCTGCGGCTCCTCTTGTCCAAGCCTACGGGAGCGACACCCGCCATGGTTCTAGCTGCTCAGAAGAAGCACAAATATCCTTCCTGCTCTGGAACTCATGCGCCGACCATTCCTCACTTAGGCCTGGGCAGCCAACCAAACCCGGAAACCAGGAACAGAAAGGCGAGTAGGACACAAAGCGAACTACATCGAGCCCTGCTCAAAACCTGCCGGTGGCTCCCTCCGGTCGTGGGCTAAGTCCCAGCTCCCAAGCTTTGCATTCAAGACCCTCCGTGCTCTAGTTCCTCAGGTTTCCCCATCCTCATTTCTCACCATAAATGTTATACTGTACCTCCAGAGAACTATTTGTTAGTTCTTGAACATGCCATGCTGTTTTACACAGTTTTGCCTCTGCACATGTTGTTACTCCTACTAAGAAAGAAACTTTATAGTGGAAAAGTCCGGCAACACCACCTTACCCCAGTAATTCAAGTTAACGTGGTGAATAATGGACAAACTCACACCATGTGCTCCCGATATGATGCACCAAAAGGACACAACACTTTTGTAGCATTGTTGCTAGAAATGCATAATTTCAATCTAATCATGATGAAACTGACAAACCCAAGTTGAGGGATAGTCTACGAAATAAATGACTTGTTTACTTCAAAACTGACAATGTTATTAAAAGACAAAAAAAAAAGGCTGAGAAACCACTTCAGATTAAATATGATTAGAGACATAAAAATTAAATGTAATGTGTGACCCTGAACTGGCTCCTAGATCAGAAAAAATAAATTGCTATAAAAGACATTGAGATAATTGGTAAAATTTAAATGAGATATGCTAATTAAATAATAGGATTATATTAAATTTCCTAATTTGGTAATAGCACTGTGGTTATTTTAGAAGCAAAGGGGAATACGGTCTGTAACTTACTCCCAAATAGTTACACACACACACACACACACGACACGGAAAGAGGGAGAGAAAGGAAAGGCGGAGTCATTTTTAAAAGCTCTTTAAGTTGTAAGGAGCCTGAACTTCTATCCGTTCAAGATTCTGCTCAAATATTCTCTCTCTTTGAGATTTCTCAGTGCTCCATTTTTACCCTGGTAAAGTGACATGGCAATGCCACGGGGTCACTGTCTCACAATGCCATTCTACAACCAGGAACCTTTCCTTACAGCTTCTCCAAGAAGCTTTCCTTAACCTTTTTACTTTTGAACTAGTTAACTAGCAAGTTATAAAACAACAAAGTTAAAGGAATTAAAATTTTTTCACATATTTACTTAACTGACATGAATTCCTCCATGAGACTCAGTATAGCTTCCTCTTGCCTCTGATAATTTTAGTAATAGAGCAGTTCCCTTATCCACCGTTTCACTTTCTGTGGTTTCAGTTACCCACAGTCAACCATGGTTTGAAAATATTTTTAAAATTCCAGGAATAAACAATTCATAAGTTTTAAACTGGGCACTTTCATGAGTGGCATGATGAAATCTTGCACCATCCTACCCAGGATATGAATCACGCCTTTGTCCAGCATAGCCATGCTGTATATGCCACCTGCCCATTAGTCACTTAGTAGCTATCTCAGTTATCAAAGGGAATTATGGACAAACCACATTCACGTAACTTTTATTATAGTATATTATTTGATTGTTCCATTTTATTAGTAGTTATTGTTGTTAATCTCTTACTGTTCCTAATTTATAAATTAAACCTTATCATAGGTTTGTATGGGTAGGAAGAAAACACAGTATACATAGGGTTTGGTACTATCCACGGTTTCAAGCATCCACTGGGGATCTTGGGACATATTCCCTGAAGCTAAGTGGGGATGACTATATTTCCTCCATCCCGCTTCCTGACCTAGCCCCCTACTACAGTCAACCCATCAAACCAGGAAGCACCCTACCTAAACTGGGTTATCTGCTGAGGGACACAGAGAAGAGTAGGACTTGGTCAATGTTCATTATCTAAAATGGCGGGAGAGACAGAAAAGTAAACAGACAAAAATAGCATAAGGTGATCAGGGCTACGGCAGAGGGCGAAAAAAAGCTGCGGACGCACAGGAGGGTCATCTCGTGAGGGGGTATATCAGAGAAGGCTTCTTAGAGGATGTCGCAAATAAAGCTGAGCCTCGAAAGAAAAGTATGTGCCTCAGGCTCATCTTATATTTTCTTTGCCTTAGAGCTAGCACCAATCAGTTCTCCAAGGAGTCACAATTCCTTTTATTGATATTCAGAAAACAAGATCTGGGTGCTAGGTATGCTCACTGTTATTGAGGTATCACTGCTTCTAGCCCCTCTCACTGGCCAGAGTTAGAAAATATATGTATGTATACTTACTCATGTATCTACACACATATCTATAATTTTTATCTACCTAAATGTGAGGCCATATTGATACCGCCGATTAAAATCTAGCACCACGTTTCCTTCCAGCCTTTCCCTTTCCTGGTTTATGACTTCTTTCTCTAACACAAGAAACTTGACTCCTATTATCTATAATATATTTACTTGTTTGTTCGACCCTAGTATACAAATAAAGTAGTGCCAGAATTCCTAATGCATAACTCTGAGAGAAACACATTTACAAACTAGGGTGCTTTGACTGTGTACAGTTCTTTTTGTCTTCAGCCTTACAGTATACAGTCAAAACACTGTTTTTCAAGGTCAGCTCCTTTCTTCAACATTCCCTTCAGTGTGGCTATGTGATTTACTTAGGATATCAGTTAGAGTCATTTGTTACAGTCTGCATTCTCCTCCGCCCCACCCCCACCCCCAAATACTAGCTGCTTTAAAAAAAAAATTACATAAAATAAAATTCACTTCTTTTGTGGTGTATAGTTCTACAGGTTTTGACAAATGCATAAAATCACGTGTTGAACACCACAGTTGCATGCAGAACACTTCTCACCCCGCAAATAGTCCAAAGGCAACTCTAGTTTTAATTCTGCTTTCCCAGCATCGACCAGGAGGTGGCAGGGTTTCTCTCTGAGAGGCAGCCTTCACAGCGCAGCTGAGCCTGCCTGCTCTGCATGCAAATGGGCCTAGGAAAGCAGCATCCCAGACTTCATACCCCATGTGTCCTCTTCTCCTGGGCATGGTTATAGAGGTTATAAGGTTAAGCTTCTTCTTTCCCTGAAATAGGTGGGTCTGGCTGGAAGCCTCAGAATTTCACACTCCAACTGAATCAACAGGATGATTCATCAGAGTAGTCAAGAAGGCAACCCATAAATATGCTTTGATAAAATATTCGGTGAGAAAAAAAAATGCACAGTGAGGGCAACGAAGAGAGAAGAAAAACTAGAGACCAACACCAAATCAGGTGAAGGTGGGTAGATGACTACAGACTCTCTTTTCAAGACATTACTTGTACTGATGGCTGGGAAATATTTCTCTAAGAGGAAACTGAAGGGAGAAGGTAGAGGAAAAAACCTGAGCACAGGCCAGACAGTGCAAGGCATGCTTCAGGCATAGCAAGTATGTTCTAGACAGAAGATGAGGTTAGAAACACAGACAGGGGACAAAGTTGGTAACAGTTTAAATGCCCTATCATTTTATCATCCAGTAAACAACAGGGTACTCCAACATGTGAGCAGCTATGCCATATGGTAGACGTGTGAAGCAGCATGTTGTCCATGTGGTTACATATAAGATCTGCTTAATTAATAACAAATTACGATTTAGTAATTATTAACCACTAATATAACCACTACTAAACTAACTACTGGTTAAGTCATTTTACCTTCCTAAGCTACATCTATAAACTGACAGTAACAGTTAATAATAGGGTTGCTGTGTGTATTTAATGAGATAATATATGCAAAGTACATAAGAGTTTCTGGTATACATAGTGCTCTATAAATACTAGTATTATAAATACATTTCAAATGACCTAAATTTATCTCAATGTCCTTCTATATTTCTCTTACCTTTCTTCATTATGGGCAAATTTTCTAAAGATTCTTCTTTTCCCACACCCAATAAAAAACCAGCCTGAAGTATATCTGGATGTCTGCACTCATCCACGTTACAAACCCACATGAATGGTTCACTAAATATGACCACTCCTCACCCCTGCACAGTATTATTAACCCTTAGTACTCTGCTGGGCATTTTATGTACATTGTCATATTTAATCTTCTAGAGAGCTCTGAAAAGTAAGTATTATCATGCCATTTTAAAGGTAAGATAATTGAGCACTGGAGACATAAAGCAAACCGCCAGAGGTCACAGAGATGGTCTGTCACCAACCTCTGCCTCCAGAGCCTCTATTCTTTCTACTGAAGTACACTGCATGACGCTCCACCATCCATGAAAATATTCCCAGACTTCTGACACTGGCCCTCTTCTCTTCTGTATCCAAGTTACCTATTTGGGTGGTTTCTACCCACTAACGAAACTTCACCACTTCTACGCCAACAGCTGTACAAACTCCTACTTACAGGCAGGACTTTCGCCTCAGTTCCAACCCTGTACACCCAGCTTCCTTAGTGGACATCTCTGTGTGTCCTTCTCAGGTACCTCAGACTCAGAATTGCCAAGGCCCACATTTTGCCCCACCCTGCTTTTTCCAGTCTGACTTTTTTTTCCTGGTAAGGCCATTATTATTCATCTAAATCTTCAACTTCTAGTGCTTCCCAACACCCAGTATGTCACCAGCTCCTGCCAAGTGAGCTTCTCCCACATGTCCCCATTTGTTCCCCTCTCCTCCTTCAGACCCTTCACACCTTTCCGTGGAGATTTCTAAAAACTTTCTTCTTCCTATACCCCAATCCATTCTTCAAAGATGCCATCTGGGTTAATCCTCTTAGAATATAAGTTTATACATGTCATCTCAGGCACATGGCTCTTGGAAAGCTTACCAATAAATCTCAAATTCTTCGCCAACCTGGATGCAGCTTTCTGAACATGCCTAGCCTCTGAGTATGGCATGATTCTAACAAACAAAATGATATCACATCCAGGGGACGTATTGCCTTCCTGCCTTTTCATCTACAATTCCTACTTCCTGTCATCATGCCCCAAGGGACAAACTAATGGAGTATATTAATCTCGGTTAGGACTTGATGTGTTAATTGGGGTCTTGCCATGTGGAGCCTGTGGATTCACTCTCACAGCATCCTTAACATCTCAGCGGTCTTTCTCCCCTAGTCTGGGAGATCTCTACAGGGAGGAACTGTACCAGATTAATTTTGGGGTTATGAGTACACAGTGCAAGGCCTGGCATACAGAGCAGGCTTCAGGAATGAATAACTCCACGGCTTAATAGCTGACACTAAAGGTAAAGCGCTGGATGAAGGGTGGGTAGTAGAGCCACAAGCACCACTCACCCTTCCGGTTCATCCCCATCTGGAGGCATTTGAGCAGGCGGCAGTACTGGCACCTGTTTCTCTGCTTCCGAGACATGACACAGTTCTTGTCACGGCTGCACCGATACACCCGCTTGTTGCAAATGCTCCGCTTGAAAAACCCTTTGCAGCCTTCACAGGAGATAATTCCATAGTGCAAGCCTGTGGCACGGTCCCCACAAATGAGACAGGTTCGTTGTTCAGCCCGATCATCTGGAACAGAAACTGAACATGAATTCAAGTTAGAATACAGTAGAAATAATGGCTTTATGACTGCAATGCTAAAATGAGCAACCCTGCCCTGGGCAGATCAAGAACCTCACCCTCTTCAGGATAACTGGCAAACAGGAGACATCATCAGAGCCCTTGTCTTAGGCACAGATCCCTGCATCTACCTGCAGGTACCACAAACACAGCCTATAAGAAAAACGAAATTCATGTTCCTCCCCCTGGATTTCATCATCGCTTGGACCAGTATCCAAGTCAGAAGCCTGGACGAAATCTTTGAGACTTCCTTCTTCCTCAGCTTTCTCAGTCTCAGCTCATTACTTCTATCCAGTGGAAAGGTGGTAAGGATTACTGAAAATGTATATAAGTGCCCACTGCATGGTATACATCCAATTAATGATACTTGTGATTGTTAACAAGTGAAGCTTTTACCGTGACCAGCTAAGCCAGCCAGCCAGCCGTCTGTCCTTCCATCCGTCTGTCTGTCCGTCCATCTATCCGTCCATCTATTCATCCATCTATCCAACCGTCCATCCATCCGTCCGTCCGTCCGTCCGTCCGTCCATCCATCCATCCATCCATCCATCTAAGCATCCACCCACCAACCCACCCATCCATCTATCCATCCAACAGATATGTATTGAGCAACTATTCTATTCTAGGTATTGTTGTAAGGCATGGCTATAACAGTAAATATAAGTCCCTGGTGAAGATTAGTACATTCTAGCAGAACATGTACTATCTGTGTCCAGGCTCTGTCCAAGGTACTGTGTGTTCAGAAATGAAGCACTATGATCCTAATAGTTAAGGAACTCACTGCCTAGCAACAAACAAGTTAGTCGAAGAGGAAAGTCAGGCCGGGGTATGGCTCTCCACTTACTCTTCCCTCAAATTCCACTTACTCAGGACCAAGCAAGTGCCAAAGAACAAGCATATGCCAAACAAACAAACAAATAAAAACAAAACAAAACAAAAAACACCCTGGTGAACTGTGACATCAGACCTTGCTAAGAGATGCAAGAAACCTCCAGGACAGATTTTAATCAGAGACCAAGGCAGGAAACCAGAGATTTGAGCCTCACTCCTGAATAACAGGCAAGTTATACTGTTAGGTACGCAGCCCTTAGAATTAGAGGGATGCTTATTTTAACCCCAGTTCTGACAACGGTTGGATGAACTTGGGCAAATTGAGTTACATCACCTCCCTAGTTTCTCTAATCTGTAAAATTGGGCTTATAATGGTACTTATATACCATGGACAAAGTACTCAGCACAGTGCCTGGGCTATAACAGACATTTAATAAATAATAGCTATTATTTTCATTATCATTATTATCCTAACAGACTCCCACGTAATATGATAATGACATTCCTGAAAAGTATTTGAAGACAATGTTAAAGAGGGGGGCAAGGTGCTATATGTAGGAGGATGCAGAGAGGGAAGGAGATTAGCATTTATGGAACCTTTATTCTATACCAACTTTGAGATATGTTCTATGATCACCATTTATAGTAGCCTGAATAATGGCCATGCAAAGATATCAGGTCCTCATCCCTGAAACCTATAAATGTTATCTTGGAAGGAAAAAGGATCTTTGCAGATATGATCAAATAAAGGATCGTGAGCTGGAGATTATTTGGGATTACAAAGGTAGGCCCTATTTTCAATGACACGTGTCTTTATAAGAAAGAGGCAGAGGGAAATTTCATATACACTGAGAGAACACACACACAACAGACACGCGAGAAGGCATTGTGAAGACAGAGGCAGAGGTTGGCCACCAGCCAAGAAAGACTAGCGGCCACTAGAAGCTGGAAGAGGTAAGGAATGGATTCACACCTTCATTTCAGCGAAGTGATATTGATTTTGGACTTCTGGCTTTCAGACTGTGAGAGAAAAAAGTTCTGTTTTAAGCTACCCAGTTAGTGGTAAATTTTTAACAGCAGCACAGGAAACGAATACACAAATTTTTTTCCTACAGGGAAACAGACATACACAAGCTCTTGCCCAAAGTCATAGAGCAAATAGCAGGTATGCAGAGAGAAGCAGACATATGAGATTACAGATAGGGAAACACAGAAAGACAGATAAAGAAAGAGGAATTGCCTGAGTTCTTGAGGACTCTACAGTTTCAAGGTACAGAGCTTTCTAGGCCTTTCTAAAACCTGGATGCACTTCCTAACTACGGGCAAATTAAAAAACTGTGACGAATTGACGTTCCAATGTTCTTGTAATACAATCCTTTTTTTTTCTTTCTCAAGCTAACTTAAATGAGTTTCTGTCATTTGCAACTAAAAGAAACAGCAAAGATACTTAGCTAAGATACATTTTTATAGAGTTATAAAAATGGTCTTGGTATAATAAACATTCCTTTTCTTTTCCTATTAAAAACGCAAAGGAATCTCAAGGTAAACATTATAGCAAAGTTACAACAGCAAGTTAAAAAACTAAATAAGGAAAGGCCAAACAGGCAAAATGAATGGGATAGCAATACTATGTGTGAAATGTGATTTCCTAGAGCGCTGGGCTTGAGATGCTGCAAAGTTTTGGAAACAGCATTGAACACTTAGGAAATCATGATCAGAAGAATCTAAATTTTCCAACTTTAAATTAAAACCATTAATGTTCTAGTATATATTTACGCGCGCGCGCGCACACACACGCACACACACACACACACACTAAAATATAAACCAGAACTCTCCTAGAAAAGACTTACAAATAGTTATAATTAATTAACATCATAAGAACCACATCACCTTGCTTTCTTCATGGCTATTTCACCAACCAACCAGGCACTCTCTTTGTTTGCACTGTCATGTAAGCCTCATAATCCCAAAGGTGGGGACAACTTATCACCATTTCGTAAATGAGAAAATGGTTACTTTCTCAAAAAGAGTTAAGTAACTTGTCCATTTAGGAGGTGGTTGACCCTAATCTGCCAATATCATAACTGGGAGTTCAATAACCTCTTCATAAAGCATTTGTAGGGAATCTGTGCAGTATCTGGATCCAGAGCAAAGGGTCCACCTAACAACTATCAAATACACAGACCTGTTAAGAATCTGTTCATGTCTTGTAACACTGCATGTTCTTTTCCTAAGAGTTTAAAAAGGCACCATTGAGATCAAAGACTAGACGGGAATATTTCTCCACTGATGGGCATAAAGAGAAGAGAGTCCCTTTAAGTCCTATGACTGCTTCTCCGTCTGGCCATAGCTAATCTTATCGTCACATTCCATTTATATAAGCAGCACTGGTCTATGCCACAGACCAGGAACTAATTCAGAAGAAAGTTCCTCAAAGGTACAAGAGAAAGGCCCTCTCCAGATCCCTTGCAGTCCTTCAAAGAGGCCTCTGGCGTGCGCCTCTCACGGCATGCTGGAAAAGATCATAACGGGAGAAGCTACTCTTAACTCAGCATTTGGGTGCCAGGCTCTGTGCCAAGCACTTACTATATGTTACTGTGCTGAATCATCACAACAAACCTAAACGAGGTGTCCTTATTTACAGATGAGAAACTTGAAGCTCATGAGGTGGTATCACTTTCCAACAGTCACCCTGCTAGTATAAGAAAGGGAGCCAGGGCTGGAATCTCCAAAGGCTATGGCACCTAACCATCATATTCTGTGGCCACACCAAGGTAAACCTATCTATATCCTCTACAGAGGTAAATCAAGCACCTCCCCACTTGTGGGGGTGGGGGGTGAGGAGCTAGAAAGCCAAGGTCTCCATTTATAAATGAACAAATTGAAGCAAAATGTCCCTAATGCTGTCTGGTCAGATAACAGATTTCTGCACTTCCTATTTTGTAAAGGACTTGAAGGATATTTAAAGTATGTTTATGTTCATTATCTCACTGTACCAGGCCAGGGCAAGGATTATTCTTACAGATATTGTAAAGAACATTCGGTGAGAACCAGCTGTGTACCGTGCAACATTCAAGAAGTTTTCATATGTGCTGTCTTATTTCTTCTTCACAATAACTGAGAGGTATCATTATCCCCACATTACAGAACCTGGAATCTTAGAAAAAGTGCCTTAGAAACTGTCTTAACAGACTTTTACTTGAACTCTCTCTATAATATCCAAGACAAGGAGTTGTCCCACACTCTGGAACTGACCCTTGAACAACACGGGTGTGAACTATGAAGGTCCACTCACACACAGATTTTTTCCAATAAATACCTGTACTGTTTTGGATCTGAGGCTGGGAGTCTGTGGATGTGGAGAACTGACTGTATTAAGTGATCTATGCCATTTTATAAAGGGGTCTTGAGCATCTGTGGATTTTGGTATCGGGGGAGGAGGGGAGCGGTTAGAACCAATCCCACACTTATACTAATAAGTTTCTGGGGAGTTAAAAGTTACCTGTAGATTTTTGACTGCACTAGGAGTCAGTACCCCTACCCGTGTTATCCAAGGGTCAACGGTACTTACACACAGCTAGTGACTCAATTAAGGTACTTCATTCCATTCATTTCATTTTAGACAGTTTTCATGGTTCACAAGCTTTTCTTTACACTGAGCCAGTCTGTTAACCTGAAGCTTTTCCCATTGCTCTGAGTTATATGTTCATGGGGTGGGGGGAGGGGTATGTATGTAAACCACTGGCTCAGAGATTTAAAGAAAAATGAGGTTCTTGACTGTGAATTTTTCCTTCTTCCATTTCTTATTCTTAATGAAACATGTAGTATCAAAATCTCTCAAAACAAAGTATCCAGAACTAAATAGTTTGTTTTTCTTAATAGAATTTAAGACTCAATTAACTTTGCTTAAATGTTTCTGTAGCTATCAACCCAGTAAACACATAGTATTTTGTAATTACTGATGCTATAAAAATGCTACACATTTTATAATGGGAAAATCGAAGCTTAAAAAGGTAAAGAAATTTAATCTTGGCTACACAGTGAGGAAAGGGTGGAAGTGAAATTAGAATTTAAGACCTTCCAACTCCAAGGCTGTTATATTTCTAATCCCTACACTTCACATCTGG